CAAACCCAAACCCAGTCAAACCCAAACCCAGTCAAACCCAAACCCAGTCAAACCCAAACCCAGCCAAACCCAAACCCAGCCAAACCCAAACCCAGTCAAATCCAAACCCAGTCAAACGCAAACCCAGTCAAATTCACACCCAAACCCAAGTCAAACGTAGTCAAATCCAAATCCAAATCCAAGTCAAATCCAGTCAAATCCAAATCCAAATCTAGTCAAACTCTGTCAAACCCAGGATTTGGGTTTGACTGAATTTGAATTTGGTGCACTCCTACACTGACGCATACTGGAACACTGACGTACTGATACTGACTTCCATTGACTAGAATATATACACAGAAGACGACGACATCTTCCGCCTGTAATATGCGGATGAACAAAAAATTTTCATCGAATGGAAGCATATCTGCTTAGTAGTTTGGTTTCTTGGTTGAGATAAGCTACATACACTTTCACGGGTGTGGGTATGGGTATGGGTGTGTGGATGTGGGTGTCTGCCTTCTCCTGACTCATCTACACCCGCACCCCCACACCCGTACCCACACACCCACACCCACATTCACACCCACACCCACGCCCACACCCACACCCACACCCACATTCACACCCACACTCACGCCCACACCCACACCCACACACCCACGCCCACACTCACACTCACACCCACGCCCACACCCACACCCACACACCCACGCCCACACTCACACCCACACCCACACCCACACCCACACATTGGTCTCGACAGAAAATAAATTAATTATTATGTTCTTTAGTGTTTCTAAAATTTTATCTTATTTTATATGGATTATTCTTCTTTTTTTCGTGTAAGATTTTGTTTTTTATTGTATAAATATATATTTTTTTAATATTCCGAATGATTTTATGGAGGCACACTGCATCGATTTTCATTAGTGTCAACGATATCAATTTCATTGGTGCATTAAAGTTAGTTCGTCTCTCGAAAGGGGTAATAATAATAATTGGCCAAATTTCAGACCGAAAACCGAAGCGACCGAAAAAGCTGATTGGTTATCTCGTAATGCTATATAATCCATTAAGAATTCATCCATGTTTTATCGCCATTTCTCCAGAAAAGATAAAATATTAAATTCAACTATGTATTTTAAATGAATATATAAATACGGAATCTACAGAAATTATTAGATCTTCATCTGTATTAACATCAATTTTATTTTCTTATTTTAAAATTAATTTTCCAATTATTTCTCAATGATAAACTTTAGTCTCAGGATATATTGACTTATCTCAAAAGGATAAGTCGAGTCATCTAAAGAAGAAAATTTTCTGATCTATTTGTCAAGGATAAAGTTTGGTTATTCGATGTGTCGACTTATCTTAACAGGATAAGTCGAGTCATCTAAGGGAGAAAATTTTCAGTCTGTTTCTCAACGGTAAAACTTGGCTCTGAGGATATGTCGACTTATCTCAACAGGATAAGTCGAGTCATCTAAAGTAGAGAATTTTCTGATCTATTTCTCAACGACAAAATTTGGTCATTGGATATGTCGACTTATCTCAACAGGATAAGTCGAGCCATCTCAGGAAGCAAATGTTCTCATGTGTTCATCCATAATAAACTGTAGTCATTAGATATGTCGACTTATCCCCAAAGGATAAGTCTAGTCATCTAAAGAAGAGAAGTTTCTGTCTGTTTCTCAACGAAAAACTGGTCAGAGGATATATCGACTTATCCCATTGGGATGAGTCGACTCATCTAAGGAAATAGATTTTCTCACCTATTCCTCGAGAATAATAATAATGAATTCCAATATCTCCATTACTATGAAAAAATTCGACTATATTTTAATTTACAATGATGAATATTTACGTTGTAGGAAAAATAATTTTTTCGTGCAAATCTTAAATTTCAATCCCAAAATCTTAAGCTTCCCTATTAATATTCAGAAAACTTTTCATTTTTCTGAATTACAGTTTCTTCTCAAAAATATATATTAATTTAGGTATCAAATTTATAATTCTTTAACTATCATCTTGCATTTTATGCACAAGATGTACGCAATAAGAAAACGCCATCTTTTAAAATAAATGTATATCATATGTATTTAATTCGTAACCAATCAGCTTTTTTCGGTCGCTTCGGTTTTCGGTCTGAAATTCGGTCGATTATTATTACCCCTCGAAAGTGCATTAAATCTGCATTAACTTTTCGACCAATCAAGTTCCTTAATTCGACATTAAATTTTCTAGTGTAGACAAGGCCATATCGACGAAGAAAGAAATAAAGAAAATATAAATGGATCAATATCGAACAATCACAAACTAAAGTTAGCATTGCTTTTCTAGTTGACATGATGTCGCTAGCATATGATGTACAGATACTGTTGAAAAATAGTACGTACGGTCGAAAGACTTTTCTCCATTTCCTGTTCGATGTAAATAGTTAGATATTTTAAGTTTTAAAATTCCACTCTTCTCTCAATGTTGTTCTATTTATTATTTGCTTCGATAAAAAAAATGAAACCAAGGAAAAAACATTACTGACATACTCACATTTGCATAATGTCTCATCTATGTATAGCATGATTTTTAATATGTTATATTGCTATAAAAACTTACTATCAATAGAAAAACAGAGTTCAAAGTTGAGAACTATAACGAAACCATCGATATATAGGAGAAAAGAGATGAAAATAAGATATGATTCTCATTGATTTATTTGATTTTTCTGCTTTTTTTTTGAATTTTTTGATTTTTCTGATTTTTTTTATTTTCTTTTTTGATTTAAATCAAAAAAAAATCAGCTTTTCCCCCTTGGTTGTTGGTCAGATTTAAGAAAAAATAAATAAAGATAGGGTATAACACCCGAAAACCCTAATAATGTTGTGTTGTGAATGCTGATAAAATAACTAATAGGTTTTTTTCTTCCGACTTTATATCATATCACCATATTATGATTCATGATACTCTATCATGTTATTTGTTTTTTTCTATTCGACTGTACGCCGTCATGTATACACTTTTGACGTTTAATTAGTCTCTTACATCTTCTTACTTTTTAATGACATTGTAATGGGTTTAACTATGATATTCTATTGGTCAATAGCTTCTTCCTTCTTTTTAATGTCGCTATCATACGACCGTCATTCATGACATAAAGGTGCCTGATAATATCTTCCGAATTCACTATTGGCTTGTTTTGCATTCGCTTATGATACTATATTGAAAGATTCTTCCTTCCGATTTTACTTCATAACGAGAGAGAGAGAGAGAGAGAGAGAGTATGCCTTCATACATCACCGACTGTTTATGAAAAAAACGAAAAATATCGGGTGACTTGACTCTGCGTAGTTTGATTATTTGTATGAGAGAGAGAGAAAGTAGGAAAACGAATATCTGATTAATATGGTCTAATGATTCTCAGCAGTACTCTGCTTGTATAAAAGCAGCATCAACTTGCATTTGCCTTCAGTATCCGTTTAGGCGATCCAGAGAAGAAATAGACTATCACTGCTTTGTAGAACGCCTAATACACTATTTCTATCTATGCTGCATAATAGTATATAGTTGGCATTATGTTAGACGCGATACCTTTTGTACGTTGTACCATGAGCTATATGAGTGTATTCTTTTTTGATTATGTGTGATATTGATACATATATACATCTTTTCAGATACGATTCAACGAACCATCCACTTTCATTATAGTCTTGTGCATATTGCGATGCGACAACATCAAGTTGAACATGGTAAATTTATTGGGTGAGTAGCGTTTTGATGCATGTTTCGAATCATATTTTCAATTAAATCTATCGAAGAAAAAATATAAACAGACACAAAATAAAATTCTCATTCTTTCCATAAATAATATGATAGAACTATGCTACAGAATACACGGCCACTTTCCTCAGCTTGCATGCATTTACATCATTTTAGAACATTGAGGCTGCATGAGTGCCAATTCATGCCCGTTTAGGTTACAGTCGGCGATAACACTCTTTACAGGATTTATCCGTAAGTATTCAAAATTCCTAAGACTCAGAATAGGTATGCATGTCAACAATATTTCAGGGCGGTGCTTTTGTGAGGCCATGATATAAAACTGAAATTTTCACTAACTACTCTAAACATTCATAAAAAATTCACATTAGTTAATTAAGGATTTAGAAGTGATCTGATATTGTTTACACAGTTATTATTGTACGAAGTAAGTAAATTAATTGAAAAATGGAAATTTACAGGATTTAGAAATTTAAGTGTTATATGTCCATATTGCTGTATATTTGAGTACATTTGTTAAGTAGTTATTGTTAGTAACAGTTTTTCACCAGTAATGTGCATATGATCTTGAATCGTAGAGTTCGAGAAGTTGTTCAAAATAGATCTCTCAACAAATTCTCTGTTGATAGGCGAACATGGCTCATTATTACTATTATTGCCCTGCAGTTGAGTGGACTTCATTCATCGGGCATGGATGTTGACAAAAATAATTTGGATGAAATGGCACGTAATTTTCTTTTCTTATACGTGTACAATGTGCTGTAATATCTCATATCTTTTAGTTTAACAGAAACAATCGCGCGGAATTATATTCCATAAATCACCGTTGGAGAAGGTCCGTAAATGCGTTCTTTTGATGAAAGCTACAAAACCTTTTAACATGAACTTTTAGATCGAATTCCGGTAACAATGGAAATCCATCAAATGGAAAAGATCAATGTGACAAAAGGCAAAATAGCATTCAGGATCAATGCAGTTGCAGTTCGGGCGTCGATTGTGCCAGTGGCATTTGTCGTGGAAAAAAGTGTCGAGGTGAGATATTAATCGAAAGTAACACTTCGACTTGATCGTGAATAGGACTACCTATTGTTTTGCAAATTATTTCATTTATTATGTATCCTTAATTTCTATTCTGTAAATCGATGATTTCATTATCAACTATATAATATTTATTAACAAAATCCGTCAAGTTCTTCTTCGATTCTGCGAGTAATTGACTTTTTCAGACTTTGAAAATTTCATCAAGACATTAATGAAGAATCTTTGAAGTGTCAGACACTTTCGCATTTCTTGTATATATGGGCGTGCTCAACGGTATGGTACCCCGCATGTTATTTCTCCAGTCAATTATCAGAAAAATGTGATTTTTTTACTGCATACGTAGTTCGATGTGCTCTTTCTAATGAGACTATTTTCAAATTGAAACTCGATGTCTAATGAAGCAGTTTTACTCTCACTACTAGCCTTGATGTCCAATTTGTGTCATTTTTGACTAATATTTGACGGTTTTCAATCACAAGAATCCATCTTTCACTTGAAGCAAATACCATATTTAGAATCAGAAACAAAAACTGAGCCGGTCTATATATGTTCCAAATTATTTCTGCGACTTTTTTTCGGTTCAATTTTAATCTGTAATCCACCTCAGGATACGTGAAAAATTAATTTAATGGGAAATCGGTTTGCATAATGAGAAACAAATTGCAAAGCTACAAAATAGTCGTTTTAGATAAAATGAGAAGTAATCAAACGATAACATAGTTGTTTTAATTAAATTCATTCTCTCAAGTATTCCTGAGGTGAATCCCAGATTAAAATTGGATCGAAACAAAAAGTCGCAGAAACAATTTGGAACATATATAGACCGGCTCAGTTTTTATTTCTGATTCTAAATATGGTATTTGCTTCAAGTGAAAGACGGATTATTGTGATTAAAAACCGTCAAATATTAGTCAAAAATGACACAAATTGGACATCAAGGCTAGTAGTGAGAGTAAAACTGCTTTATTAGACATCGAGTTTCAATTTGAAAATAGTCTCATTAGAAAGAGCACATCGAACTACGTATGCAGTAAAAAAATCACATTTTTCTGATAATTGACTGGAGAAATAACATGCGGGGTACCATACCGTTGAGCACGCCCATATGTATGAGAAGAAAAGCAGATAGGGTAGTGACACTTGCGATGAAGTTTGAATCTCAATAAATCGTAAAAATATTTTAATTTCTAGGAATTAATCCATTTTTTTAGAGCCATAACTCTAAGAATTGCATTAATAGATTGAGTGAATCACTAGTCGATATTTTTAGAACCAGACTTGTAAAAAGGGTTGAGAGTCGAAATTTTATGGTTGCATATGAAAAATCAGTCACTTGAAATACGTGGGAGGTAGTGTCAGTAAGATAAGATGGTATTGAATTATCGAGAATAGATGGAACCGATTGTAAAAAAAAAGTAATTAAGGATGATTTTTTTAGTCACGCCCTTGTTTAGTCAAATAATCTGCTTTCATTTTAGATACTCCATGTTGTTTATTTTCACCATGGTTGCAAAGACCCTCAAATATGAGTTACATTACAATCCTAAATGAGCTGGGTTTAAAAAAATTTTAATCTTACGAATCAAAACTAATCAGCTCTTGAATGTAGTTATGAGTGACGAATTTTTGGATATGAATTTCATCCATGAACATACTCAGATCTATCTCTACTTATATCAGTGACTGACAGGAGCATACTAAACATAAAGGAAGAAAAAAGTATGTTCACACGATCGGAGAAGGAAGGAATTATTGAGAACGAACTGATAGAGCGAAATGCATTGATTTCGAACTATTCCGATTTTCAAAATCGGTATCTATAGTTTTCATATCGATACTATGTCTCAAAGATTATTTCAATTGAAGCTGTAGACTTTTAGATCCAGTTGGGATTTCACTTCAATGCTGTTATTTCATTTTAAGTGTGCTTCGCTCGCTAGAAACGATGCAAAGAGTTCATATTTGCAGGAGTTTGAAAGATAATAAGATTTAGAATATTAAATTAAGCTTTCAATGAAAAGCAATTACTTCATTAGATAAAATAAGCCCATGCCAACTGCGATATCTTGCCTATAGCTCATCTTAGCATGGATCGAACCAACATATTAGAACTACTTAGGAGCGTGAGACATTTTTTCAGAGAAATAAAGCCATTTACATTATATTTTCTTGCCATTTAGCTCTCTGTGAACTTGAATTGGGTACGCGAGTGACTTATCAAGTCGGTAGTTATCCACATTTTGTGGCTACTGTCGATGTTAATGGTGATGGTTATCTTGATATTATTGTACTGAATACCATGAGCCAAAATGTCGGTATTATGCTAAACACAGGAAATGGCACATTTCGTAGTCAAGTTACCTATCAGATCGGCTATTGGGCATATAATATGGTCGTTACCGATGTCAATGGTGACAATCGTCCCGATATAATTGTGACGAATTTCGAGCAAGGCACTGTTGGTGTGCTTCTGAACACAGGTGATGGTACATTCGGCAGCCAATCAGTCTATTCGGGCAGCTTTTATCCACGTGGCTTGGCCGTTGCTGATGTCAACGGTGACAATCGTCCAGATATCATTGTCACGAACCCACTTTCTACCAACATTTATGTTTTTCTGAACATTGGGAGTGGCACATTCAATGGACCAATCTCCTATTCAGTTAGTGGATACGCATATGCCGTAGCTGTCGCCGATGTTAATGGTGATAGTCGTCCAGATATTGTTATCGCAAACGCAGCAAACAACAACGTTGGTGTTCTCATGAATACAGGAAGTAGTTCCTTTTCTAATGAAGTGACATATCCAGTCGGCTCTTATTCAATGTGGGTAACTGTTGCTGATGTTAATGGGGATAGTCGGCCCGACATTATTACAGCAAATACAGGTAGCAACAATGTTAGTGTTATATTAAACATGGGTAGTGGTTCATTTGGTACTCAAGTAACTTACCGAGTTGGTTCTTGGCCAAACTTTTTGACCGTTGCCGATGTTTATGGTAATAGTCTCTCTGACATAATTGTAGCGAATACTGGAAGTAACACCATTGGTGTTCTTCGTAACAGAGGTAACGGCATATTAGATAGTCAAATACTCTACACAGTTGGCAATGGGCCGTATTGTGTGGCTGTAGCCGATGTCAATGATGATGGTCGTCGTGATTTAATTGTAGCGAATGGTGGAGACAACAGTATTGAAATAATTCTCACTCACTGTATTTGCCGACAATGTTGGAGCTAAGCTCTTGTATTGGCGTGCTAAGAAGTGAACTTAAACTTCATCATTATATGAAGATTTCTTAGAGACGTATTAGTTTTCCCTATGCTAATATTCTAAATCTTTTTAACTAACAGCAATATCATAATGAACGCGATTACTAATCCTTACGTTTATTACTCGCCTAATTCGATTTTCGCCAAATGCTTTTTTTTCTATATACATTTGCTTTCCATGTTCTTGTTTTCTATTTCAAGTGACTTCTCGCATAATCTAGGTTGCTCATACTTTCTTTTCTTTTGTTTTTCGAATAAAACTATTTTTATTCAATATTAAATCAAATTTTTTTCGTCAGCTGTAAGTCACTGATGCTGACTCAAGCTCGCTGATCACCCATAGTGTGCAAGCCACAATAGAATATCTAGGGGCTATAGTTTTAAAAATATGAAATAACTAAATTTATAAACATCGATCTTACATGGTCGCTGATTTCTCAAGTATGACCACAGAGAAGCCTACATGATATGTAAATTAAGACAAAAATTTAAGCGACATCAGCTCTTCAAATTTGTTTTTAACATCACTTTTTTGAATTTCTTTTTTCATATCGAGATGTATCGGTCTGATTCAAATGGTGATTCTAATAGTACCAGAGGTTGGCTACATAATACATTATATTAATTTTTCGCATTTCCTAACCAGGAGATTTTGAGTGATGTCGCTGTGGGTGTCGGAGTGGCTCTAGATATAGAGACGATACTACTCTCGCACCCGCACCTACACTAAAATATGTTTCTTTTTGTTGACGACTAATTGTCTTGTGCTTTTTATCTTAAATATTTCACTGTCACAGAGTGGGGTCCCTGAAGATAGGACGTGCAGATAAAAGCTGGGTGTGAGTGTGGGGTGTGGGTTGGGTGTGGGGTGTGGGGTGTGGATGTGGGGTGGCTGAGAGTGTGGGTGGGTGTGGGTGTAGATGTGATTAAAGAGACCCTACGCTCACTTCCACCCATACACCCACACCCACACCCAACACCCACACCCTCAGGTAATTGATAAATTTTCATTATACGCAGTTTTCTATCGAAAATCCAATGTTCAATTTAGATTTTTTTCCAAAATCAAGATCAAAAGTCAAATTATCGTTTAAAGAAGTTGGAATCGATTCGTTTTTAGGATGGACCTGTTCTCAAGATAAATCAAGAGTAGATGAAATTTACTATTGAATGAAAAGTGGGTGTGGGTGTGGGTGTGAATCTTCTCTTGATCAACTCACACCCACACCCACCCACACCCACACCCCACACCCACCCACCCACACCCACCCCCACACCCACCCTGTTGTTACTTATTATTTATTGAACTTGTTGTCGTTTATTGAATCTCGTCAGTAAAGCTTTCTTTAGGTAGAATAACAGAGAAGATGTCTGTCTTTTAAGAGGGCCCCCTAAGAAAATCCAATTTTTCGGAGACGAGTCGAAATTGAAGTTTTCTCATAGGAAGATGCACCGAAATCTCCTCTTTCAGAATATCTATGGTTTATCGCAAAATGAATTGATTTTGACGAACTTACCGTCTAAAACTTGGCTTCTACTATCATATTTTTCGAGAAATTTTCATGATTTTTTTCAAGCTTTTTCGAATTTTTAGGCTTCTTTCTCTTTGCATCAGCATTTCGTAAAGTTTTTTTTTTAATACTAATCACTACGAGACTATTAAAACTTAATATTAAGATCACATA